AATAAACTAAACTATTTGATTAAACAACAAAATAATTTTTTTGATACTTTAATAAATATGTTCAAATCCATATAAATCACACTTTAGATAAAAAAACGATTGATTTATTAGAAGCTGATAAGTACTAAACGAGAATTCTAATAATGCTAAAAGCTATAGAGAGCACAGACTACAATAGAAGACGTAGCTTGGCCTCGCTATATCTCGATAAGCACTCCCGATTTAAGACAAGATTGATCTGCCTTATTGTCGAAAGAGTGTTTTTTTGCAGGCTAACTTGTTCTTATCCTTCGCAACTATTTCTGCAATAAATTAGTTTTTGATAATACGATATCGTTTTGTTAATTTATATAAACACAACCATTAAATTTATTAACAGTTGTTAATAGTTTCACACCAATATTTCCATTTTTTTTCAAAACGAGTAGAGTTGAATAACAGACATCACCGCGATGTGTTTATTTACTCAGGGCCAATTCTGTCGCATGTGGGCTTGTTTTATGCGGCAAAGCTTTTTTTGCTCGTCTACTACAAATCGTAAAAGCTAACAGTACGCTTTCTGCCTTTTCACAGCCAGTCGGAATGTACATGCATAAGTACGAATGGTCCGGGTCCCAGGAGAGCGGAGATTGCTCCATTTGGATTAGGGCGGCTCAGCTACAGTTCGACGATGGCAGCTGGGAATGTCAGGTCACGGCAAGTGACTTCCACACACAAGATGCCCTCACTAGTTATCCAGTACGATTGGTTGTTAGAGGTAAGTTTTATTTCAACTCTGAAAAAATTAATTTTGTTACTTTTTTCTGTTACAACGTAGTCAATTAATACATTCACAAGTCAAATTAACTCCGCTTTTATCATAAAGGCAGATTTGAAGCGGACTATAAACACAACAAATACTCCATCCTCTGGGAGAGACCGTAACGTATGCAAACGACGCATGATGTAAGCGAAACGGGGCGAAGTAGCGCGTTAATTTCGATGGGGTTGCCCATTGTCATACAAAACCCTAAAGATAAATAGTTTCCTCGCGGGTGAAACGGCGAAACCTCGCGGGGCCTCTGGAAATATTTCACGAGCTATAAAATTTTCGGCGAGTATATATTTTCTTAAATAGTCTTATCGTCGCCCTCGGCCAGTCAGATGCAGATACGCTTTTATTTATACTGTCCTAGGGTTGCCATAAGAACGACGACGCCACCGCTTTACTTTTATAAATAAAGCAAAGATAACGACGGCAGGCATAATGCAACTCCGGGCTCTTTGTCGTGCTCGTAAATTATCCATTCACTGAGGGTTGAAATTATTTTTTTTAAGTTTATTTGCTTCATTGTCCTTCAACGTGCTCTTTATACTCCATACTATATTGGAACAAATTTGAAAATATATAAATAAGAAAAGAATTACAAAACTATATCATAAAATAAGGACACAAATACGTAAAAATTCGAAGCTTAACACAAAATTCGGGATATGGATGGAATACGTTTCGTGAAATTCTAGGATGAAATGAAGTTTTCTTTCGCCTGGAGAGTGCAATAATATGTAAATCTAAAGTAATATTTGTGAAGTCTTTATTGGGCCGTTTATGGAAGTTCAAACCGGGTATTGAACTGAATAAAATTGGGTTATCTCCCCCAATGGAGAATCCCGGTACGTTGCCGTTACCTTATTGTCAAACACTCCCGAGTTCGGATTCTGGCATACGAATGCTATTTGAATATTCAAATATTGGACACGAAGTAGTATAACATAAGACGGCCGAGAGCGAGACATATCCAATCCGAATTCGCTACCCACAAAACTTGTTTTGTATATTACTACAAAAATGTATGGACAGTTCGACTAAAATTGTTATAAACCCAAAATTTAATACATGAAGTTTTAAGTCCCAACGAAATGTACCTCCTTATAAGTTAAAAGCGGCTCGCGTGGAGGTTTTATGTGCGGTACTTATTTAAACACGTCTGGGAACATATTCGTCTTTATGACTAACCTGGTAATATGTAAAAACTTTCCTGAAAATGTATACAAACTAAATTTCTGTGAAATTTACAAAAACAGAATTTAAAATTTTTTAAAGACCAAAGAATTTTCAAATTCAAATGTCCACTTTTACTAAACATCATGTTAAAGAATACAAGGGATTGTTATCGAAATTAAAACTGTTTACAACGCTCTCGTTGGCTTACAGCTCAAATTATCTGTTGAATAAATTTAACAAGAGGTGGTAAAATTGAAATTCACATCACATCAACCACTGTTGAAACTACTGTCTGAATGAACAAAATTTTAACATATTGAAGGCCAGCTATAATGATGGTCAATCGATAGGTTATCTGCCGATTGACTATAATTTCGGAAAATTACCTTTTATAATAATATGTAATCCTCGTCTTCTTTCCTGAAGTCATAATGCCCTCTACATTACTGTTATTTTCATTTTAGAACAATAAAAAATTAAACCTCAACTTCAAGCTTACTTTGCATATAATTATGAGAAGTATTATAACAAATATAATGGGTTGGATTATTTCTCAAAGAACGAAATGTATTCCAACACCTTCAGAGAACAAACTTTAAATGTTCTCAAAAGAATCCATAAAAATCCTCCGTGTATTATTATTGATATTTACTGTGTTTGAAAAAATATTTAGCAGAATTCGACAACCTTCAATATAATTATATGTATATATTATAATTAGATGTTGTGTAATTAGATAATCAAAAAAAGTGTTTCATACTAGCAAGAAGGGATGTAATGCAAGAGCTTATCTGTGGATGTAACAATGTGTTCACTTTACCAAAGGAGCAGTTTTGACACATCCACCAAGACGAGAGTAACAACCTGACATAGACTTGCTATCGTCAGTACCTTCTGGTATCCTCTGCTTCGATGAGAGTTATAAGCTTTCTGTTGGTCTGATAAGTCTGTAAAGGATTAGCAATTATTGAAGTCGATGATGACCTTTTCCATTTGCTCTAGATACTTTGTACTTTGTCTATTCATTTCAATATGATTATTTCGATATTTTAGAACACCTTTCAAGGGAACTGCAAACATTTTTTGATGGAGTTTTAACATGTTAATATCTAGTAATGAGCATTTCTGGTAAGGATCGAATATTGCTAAATCGGCCAAGCTCTTAAGTTTGATTTTCTGGATTCGAATTAAAATTATTCAAATGTAAATGAATAAAATGTATGAAAATGTGATGGAAGAACTAGATCCAACACGAGATTCCCATCTTTATTTTTGCAAAACGTGGTTCTGGGTTAATTCCACTGCCCCAAAATTTTCCAACCTCACGACCTGTCTGGTATCGTTCTTCCACTTCTTCGGTCTGCAAATCATTGCTCCTGCTAACTCGCCTCCTGCATTCTTCAATATTTCCCTTCGTTCTCCTTTGTACTATTTTGTTATAGCCGTTATGTACCGTGTCACAGTCAGTGTCAAACCAATCGCTTTTTTTCCTTTGTATGCGTGAACCATTCTTTATTTTTTCCCATCTTTCCTCTATTATCATGTTCTCGTTGCTTGGTAGAGGTCTTCATTGTCTTCATAACTGATAACAGAAGAAACCAACTGAACATACATTGAAAAGAAAAGAAAGTCAAGAAGAAGCTGGTTGATAGCCTATTATCAAATACTGATAGTAACAAAATGTCGTCATCAGCATACAAGAAACGTTGAATATCGGCACTTATAAAGGACCAAGATTTAGAAACATATCTAACCACAGAATGACTTCCAAAAGCGGTTGCGATACCAATACTAACTCGACGATTATCGTCTTATTATTAACCGTACACTCGTCCTGTTGAAGTTATATTATGTGGTGATTTAGAAGTATACTATGAAAATTGCAGTCAAAAACTTTACATGGCCCTGGATTTGTTACTAGATGGACTTGATAGCACTTCTCCGTTCTCATATTTTTGGTACATGTTACATATAAGCTTATAATTAAGCCGCATGAGATTTAATCGGTCATTAAACCAAGTAATACCTTGGCGTTTAGGAAAACACCCTTCAAAGCAAGCAATAAAATTTACATAAAGTACATTAAACATTTCATTTTCACCCAAGTAGCTACACAGCTAAATTCTATTTATCACAATTTTCTACTAAAATAGTACGGAATAAACAAGAAAGATGACACGTAACTATTATTTCAAATTATAATTAGTGTCGAGAAATGTGGGTCACAACCCGACAAAATACTACCTGTGGAAGTAACTAATAAAACTTAGTAGACCAAAAAAATATAGACGGTGAAGGAAGAAAACAAAAAATAAGATAAAATAAATGTTGTCATATGTTGTAACGAGTTATTTGGCAGGAAATGACCTACCTTGTATGAACCTTCTATTATCATCTGCGCCTTGTAATAATAACTCGACCGGGTTGGACCTCAAATCTCATTATTCCAAATTACCACAGTGTGGTCTGACCTTTTGGAACCTCATTGTGCATATATATACAATATCGAGAGTCAGCAGAATACTGCCGAATATTCGTAATTGACCCCTTTTTGAGAATATCACAAAAAAACTTTCTATAGGTAATATTAAATAAAAAAATTTTCTTTAAATAGAACATAGCTCGTAACATAGTGTCTTATGAGAAAACTCCGACTCCAGTGTTTCCTAATGGTTGAATTTGTTTACAACCTTGCGGTTTAAATTTAGCTTGCGAAGTAGTCTGAGATTTAAAAGATCCTCAAACTGACACATTTTAGTACTGATTACAAAAACAGGTTGTTTTCTAGTTTTTCGTATTTGTCGGTTTCTTGTACAGTTTTTAACACTATGATATTCATTTAATTGGCGGTGGGGGTAGTTTCTATACAAACATCTAATAGGTGGTTTCTATAATTTAATGAAAATAATTATTAACTTTACTTCTTAACTCTATTATTTAAATTATCGAAAAAATCAATGAAAAGCAATTGTTGATAACAACTTAGAGTTAAACTAAACTTCAAGTAAATTAGTTGCTTCTAACTGCTGAACGTCACGAATTTGTTTAACAAATAATAAAATTACAATAATTAGTCGTTTAATAAATAAATTGTTGCATTCTAATTAGGTAATCGTTTTTCGTAATTGTTTGATTTAAAACCAAGAAGAGCAAGTAGAAATTCAAATAGTCGTTAATTTAAAATTGTCACGTTTCTTATTCTTCGTAGTAATGTTGGGAAAATGGAGTTATCAAACTTGTGTCGGCTGTAATAAAGGTCACGTGGACACACACAGATGCCGGATGTTGTTGCCGGGGGTTAGAATCAAACTCCAACCAGTAAACTTATTTGAGAACCTTAATTTAAGAACTTATTTAACAACTGGATTGGATATTGAATTACAGCTACATATTTACATAGATTTTATTTTTTCTTCGCTCATAAAATCGTGTGACTTTTCTTGCATAATCAAGTTGAAGTTCGTAACAAGAACAGCGAACGTTATATTTGCTTATTTAGCAAGAACTCATTGAATTAGGAATTAATGATTCTAGGAATTGTAGACAATTCTTGTATCTATGTTTATTCTACATGGTAAATATTTGACATATTTTCGCTATAATTGTGGTGACACAAAATATCATTACCAAACTATGTTGCGGTTGGAAACGTCGATGTGAACATTCATGCATAAGAAAATCCCCACGCTATTTTCAAACTGAAATTGTAATCTTTAATATTGCAACAACTTGATGTATCGATTTATTTTATTTATAGTTTATGTAATTAACGT